GGCAAGTCTAGCAGTGTCGGCAGCGCCCAGACCATCTCCTCGTCTTCTCCCGCTCACTTTTCCACCCATAATCGGACACGTGGCAAGTCGGCAGCAGCGTGCTCCACCATGTCCTCCTCCTTGCCAACTGCTCTCGCTTCGCTTGCGCCAATCTAAACGTGCCGCCTCATCTGCAGACCCCACCAATCCCGATCCCGGCAGCCACGCCCCGACCCGCCGCCGTTTCCATCTACGCCGACAAGGAGAGATGGCACGAGCTGATTTCCGAACAGAGACAGATCAGAAAAAAAAAAAAAAAAAAAAAAAAGACAGGAGCTTTTCGGGATAGATTGGTGCTCATAACGATTGGAAATATTCCAAGTTTGCCACGGACCTGAATCTGATTATAGACCAGAGCTGTTGCCCGCCACGGCTCTGCTTGCGGCAGACAGGCGAACCAGCGTAAGCATTAATACAGTATGCACTTTTATAGGGTGCTTTTGTCGTAGACACTTGTTGCAGAAAACTATATATACAGAGTGTATAGACAGTGTATATACAGTGTATATACAGTGTATATACAGTGTCTACTTTTTTTGTTTGTTTGTTTTTTGTTTTTTTTTACAGTGTCTACTACATAAGCTGGATAGTATATTTCCCGCCACCTTGAGTATTACCTATCTGTTCTTTCTTTTTTTCTTTTTTTTTCTTTATATATTGTCACATGATATCAGAGCGCCTAAGCGAAAAAAACAAAAAAACAAAAAAAATCTTAAATTCGTTTTTAATCTTCTTCCTTACAACTATCTGTTCTGCATGGGCCTTCTTTTACGTGTTTCCTGTCGGTCAAATGCGCAGTGCAGACAGCGTTCGCTATCCTGCCAGGTTCCGATTGCTTCTCCTGCTCTCTTTATCCCCTTCCTCCCCCCCCTCCTCCTTTGCTTTTTTGCCCTCCAACCTTCGTCCCGATGGGCCTGCCAAACGGCGAGGTAAGCCGCTTCTTTCCTTCCCCGCCGAAAAACAAGGTCATCGTCCTCCTCCTCCTGTTCCTCCTGTTCCTCCTCCTCGTTCTCCTTCGCCTCTCTCCCCCAGCCACAACTACTACTAGAACTCTGTCCAGACGTGGCGACACATGGCACCCTTTCCTTAACCTACCACATCCGTTACCATTAATGTGTATATAAAAGCTCCAAATTATATCGAAAAGACAATCCCGATCAGCATCCATCTCCAACCTTGCGTGCCTGAGACGCAATACGACACATAGCACTACCTCTCCTCCTCCTCCTCCTCTTCCTCCTCCTTTTTCTTCTTCTGCTTCATCATCATCTTCTTCTTCTTCTGCTGCTGCTGCTGCTTCCTCCTCCTCCTCTTCTTCTCTTCTTCTTCTTCTTCTTCTTCTTCTTCTTCTTCTTCTTCTTGACCTTGCTACTGCGACCACGAGGTGTGTCTATCATGTGTGACAAGAAACCTCAACCCATTCCTCCTCCTCCTCTTCTTCTTCTTCAGCTTCTTCTTCTTCTTCTTCTTCTTCTTCTTCTTCTTCTTCTTCTTCTTCTTCTTCACCCAACGAAGCTCCGACCCCGACGTACACGTCACGTGGGATGACGCAGCCGTTACCCAACAGCTTCTCTTCTCCTTCTTTCTCTGAGAAACACTGAACAATCGGCTCAGCAACAGATTCAGAGGCACAAATGTGATCTCTCTCTCTCTCAATGTATCAACACGCTACCTCAGACACAGAGAGACAGAGAGGGAGAGAGAGAGAGAGAGAGAGAGAGAGAGAGAGAGAGAGAGAGAGAGAGGGAGAGAGGGAGAGAGGGAGAGAGAGCGAGAGGGAGAGAGAGCGAGAGGGAGAGAGAGCGAGAGGGGGAGAGAGGGAGAGAGGCACAGAGAGAGGGGGGGGGGGAGGAGAGCGAGATAGCTCACCTTGGTCGTCGTTTTCGCCACCTTGGACGTCGAAATGCGATCAAGCTTGGGCAAATTGTCTGCGAACAGAGATCGGAGATAGAAACACAGACAAGCAGCAGCAGCAGCAACGCCGCGGCGCAGCCCAAATCAACACACCGCTCTCGGCCCACATAGGCCCGTGGCCCACTTGCTGAACGAACAGCCCACTCTGCGTAGACAACACGGCGAGGTTCCCACGCCCGACCCAAATTCCGCACGGGCCAGCCACTACCCCATCCGACCGACAAACAGCGCCGCCCTCGTCCGAAGTGCTGTCCTAGACGAAACTGCGGGTGGCCCAACGTTACGGCCTGGCGCCATCCGGAGTGCTGTCCTAGACGAAACTGCGGGTGGCCCAACGTTACGGCCTGGGCCCACAGCTGCTAGGACAGCACGAACCTAACCCTACGGGGGCTCCACTGTTGCTACGTTCATGCTTTCCAAGCGTGAACATAGCACCAGTGGGGCCTACCCCTCAGCCCGCAGTGGTCTGCCAAAGACCTTGCCAGGGGCATGAACAGCCCTTCCTGAAAACCCAGAGGACATCCATGACCTCGCCTAGGAGCAACAGGACTAAGGCCCTTGTTCGACACCACTAGAGAACCCTAGAGTTTCAAGTGTGCCCTAATCGCAAAATAGCCATTAATTTGCACTGCAGTTTTTCTTGGTTCCATGTGCACTAAGACGAAATACTTGAAAGCGCTGCACTTGAAACGGAAGGGGCGTCTGCAACCCCTGGTGCGTCGTTTCAGGAGTGCACAAGGTCCTCTGGTCTGGGCAGCCCCAAGGGTCGGACACTTGAACTCGAAGTACCTCCATGGGGTACCTTGAGCTAAAGTGTGATTTTGCCCCAGCCGAACTTGAGTTTCAAGGGCATGCACTAGAGAGCCTGGATGTGAAAACAAACCAGTCCCATCATTAGGGAGGGGTGGAACGAAGATTTTTGCTCCAACACTTGAGTTCAAGTGGGGTTGAAACAAAGATTTTTTGCTCCAACACTTGAGTTCAAGTGGTGTCGAACGAGGCCCTAGGGCCTCGCCACACCACTGTCTAAACCAAAAGAGTACGAGTGCACCTTGCGCAGAAACTGACAAGATACATCTGTTGCTATTCGTAGTGAGGGATGCATCTAGCCACTCTTTGGGGGAAGATGCACTCGTACTCTTTCGGTTTTGACAATGGTGTGGCAAGGCCCTAAGGTAGCCTCCTCTGGGAGCCACAAGCCAAGAAAAGCCTCGTCTATCCTTCGGGACATCCCTTAAAGGGCCTCGCCACACTGACTTGGACAAAATTTTCGGACGCAAAAATTCATTGGCCACATTGCACTCTATTTGAAGGCCAGAAGGCGCAGTTCAAAGA